GACAAATCCATTTAGAGCGGACATGAACATTAAGGTTCTGTGTGTGCACCACAACCAGGATCTTGGCAGGGAAGAACGGGCAGAGCAGATGTGAGCCGCAGACACAAAGTTGTGGCATCGGAAGGGCTTCCTTCGGTCTATGACCCGGCTCCAGCTGGAAGATCCAGTCCTCTGACAGGTTGGCAGCGCAATAACTCTTCCTCGCCCTCTGGACTGCTCCTCATCTGTTCTCCAAAATCGTATGTTTGCTCTGTTCACATGCCACTTCCTCCTGTCTCCCTAACACACTTTGATCATGTTCTCGTGTGGTCGTCATAAATCCCTGAACTACAGTTCAACTTCAGCCCATTTAATATTCTTATTCAGGTAAAGAAAGTGAAAATCCACCCCCTACTTGGGTGAATGCTGAWAAAACATTCACATTATCGAGATCATATTTTCTTCCGTACGTTTTTGGCACATACTGTATCTTGTTTCACAATTCACAATCTTCTTGTGCTAATATTAGCTTCCTTCAGCTTTAATTTTTGCTAATTGTAGCTTTTTTGGCTTTTAAGCTATCTTTCTGCTCCTCTCAGCTATTTCGCTAATCAGTTTTTTGTGCTTCTATCAGCTTCTTTTAGCAAATTTTAAGGTTTTTGTGGTTCTTTCAACTGTTTTCTGCAGTTAAAACTAATTTTTATCTTTTTTTCTGCTAATGTCAGGCTTTTTTTATAGCTAAAGTCACCTTTTCGTGATAAGACTTCTTTCAGCTGCTTAGTTCAGCAAACATGTTCTTTCTGTTTCTTTGATCTGGAGTCACTTTTATAGGTTACTTTTGAGCTACTTTTCTGCTATTTTCAGCTTTCTTGGCCATTTTGCAACAAATTGCAAAATATTACTACATCTTTTCTTTTTTTCTGCCAAAATCTTTCAGCATTAAACATTCACAATGCATTTTTACTAAAATGCTAATTCTTTATTTACACCTTTTTCTTTGCAATTTCCTGTGTAATTAAAGTTCTTTGTGAATCTGAGGTCAACTGTTTTTGAAGGAATCTAAATCACTTGACGTCTTTCATGCCAGAGTTTGAGACACGAATCATTTTAAGTTTAAACTCAATATCTGTTAAATGAACTAGGTTATAGCCATTTTCGTGTTTGCTTTTTAAAATCAGGGCGATTCCAAAAGGTAATCAGTTGTTGATGTATTTCCAGTGATTGYTTTCTGAAAGTTTCATTAAAATTTGTTTAGCAATTCATGAGATATTTTGCTAATGATACACACACACACACCGCAAACAGACTAAAACGTTATTGTCCATCTTTCATATTTCGGTGACAGGTGATAAAAAACAAATTAATGAGGTAAAACAAGCAACAGTAAACAAAAATAAATCCAGCTACTTTGCTGTTTGGAAGCTAAATGAGCATCATGTACTTTCCATTTTAAATCAAAACACTAGTTAAGCAGACAGGACAAAGCTCTGAATGTTTTCGGCTGCAGAGAGACGACATGTGGTGAAGCTGTCAGGCTGCTCCAGGCCCACGGCGCTGCAGACATTTGCATCTGACTCAAACGAGGCCCGGAACATCAAAGCACCTGTGAAGCACCACTCGATGCTGCACGGCAGGACAAGTGATGAAACGCAGTGCATTACACGAACGCCCTGAACTACTGTACCCAGAATGCACCAGCTATTCCTAAAATAAAAGTAGGACTGATCAACATGACACAAAGAACAAAAGCCCATGTTGTGCTTTAACCCAAAAAGAACAAAGGTTACTTTTTTTTCTACAAAATGTCTCTCAGAGAGGTCTTTATTTCTGTCACTGTGCTGTGGGGAGTTTTGTATAAAATCTGTACACACTGCAGACAGATGATTGTGACAGTCGGAGCTGGAAGCCTGAATAAAATATGACAGGCTAAACAAAGAGCCGCAGGAATCTGTAGCTTGTGGTTCAGAAACTGACATTTAATTACTGTCAAATTTGTTTGCAGCTGAATCTGAGGAAGCCTCCTTCATACATGTCTAAAACAGGAAAATCAGAGTGTTCGCATTTTTTAAGGTGTGAGTTACAAATCCAGTCTTTGGCATTATTATTTAAACTTTATGAAAAAAAATCAGTACATTTATGATTTAATATAATATTGATTTTAGCTACTGTTTTGTTATTTTGGCTTTTACCCACTGCTTTGTTAATTTATCTGCTATGTTGCCGATGTTAGCTTTTAGCTCTGAGTTGTACTTTTAGCTTTTATCCATCACTTTAATTTTAGCATTTAGCTGCTTTTTTGTTGGTTTTAGCTTTTAGCTACTGAGTTGTAGTTTTAGCTTTTATCTATCACATTGTTAATTTTAGCATTTAGCTGCTTTTTTGCTGATTTTAGCTTTTAGCTACTGTGTTCTAGTTTTAGCTTTTATCTATCACTTTAATTTTAGCATTTAGCTGCGTTTTTGTTGGTTTTAGCTTTTAGCTACTGTGTTCTAGTTTTAGCTTTTATCTATCACTTTAATTTTAGCATTTAGCTGCCTTTTTGTTGGTTTTAGCTTTTAGCTACTGAGTTGTAGTTTTAGCTTTTATCTATCACATTGTTATTTTTAGCATTTAACTGCTCCTTTGCTGTTTTTGTATGTTAGCTAATGCTTTCATAAATTTGGCTTTTATCTTCATATTAGCCTTAAAATGAAAGCTTAAATACTTTTTTTGCTATTTTTAGCTTTTGAGTTTATTGTTCTACTTTTATTAACTCAGGTTTTGCAGTTCAATGTATTTTTGTTAAGTTA